GAACACCTATTGATTGAATTTGATTCTGCTTGAAAGACGAAAGCAAGACAAGAAAAAGTCAAGAAAGATTAATTCCCCTGAACCTCTATTCCCGTCAGTTCTTGTTCACCTCTCACAATTCCATTGCCTGAACCTGAACCTGCAAAGATCATTAAGAAATTTCTTCTATCCTATATGAATGCAAAACCTCATAATAGCTTTTTCCCTAACAGCAGCATAGGAAAGCTAAGAAATTCTATCCCCATATAACTGTAAAAGTACGTAAGAGGATAGATAATTAATAAGGAGTAGTTCTCTTTTACAGTTCAATCAGGGAGAGGAAAAGAGTGAAATCAGGGACAAGTTACTGAGTTCAGTCTCTTTCCGAACTAAACTAATTACCTAAAAAATAGGGATTTGATCCACAAAAATAGGGGGAGGATAGAATGAAATTGATTTCAGCAGCTTTTGTTAGGGAAAAATCGATTGCTGCAATAGAGAGCAGGAGACGAACAGACTGAATCTTGACTACCGGGGTGGGGTAAATAAGGGCTTCCTCGTAATCGAGACCATATGTTTGAGTCAAGCCTTTAGCTACTAGCTGTACCGACCTTTTCCTCCTTTCTCCCATAAAGCTTCCCTTCACCCAGTCCCATATCCAATTAGTAGAGATCGAGATGGGGAGACTCAAAATAAGACAAATGCGCATTTCCTCTCTGAATCGAGAGGTATCAGATCGAAGTAAAAGGAACTCTTTCTGTAATAGCTCAAACCCACCGCTAGCAAATATTATCCTTTTTGGATTTTCCCTTTCGGGCTTCCCCTCAAGGTTTTTAAAACGCATATGCTAGGGAGAGGTTTCCACACCCTTATAAGAAATGCTTTGTTCCCCTCTCCAACTGATGTGGGATCTCACAATCTACCCCCTTGGGAGCCTAGCGTCCCCGCTGGCACACCGCCCAGTGTCTGGCTCTGATACCATTTCTAACAACCCAAACCCACCGCTAGCAGATATTGTCCTCTTTGGGCTTTCCCTTTCGGACTTCTCCTCAAGGTTTTTAAAACACATCTGCTAGGGAAAGGTTTCCACACCCTTATAAGGAATGCAATTGAAAAGAAAAAAGAAGCATTTGATAAGAATGTAGGTAATGTGCAAGAGTTGGCAAGCCTTATAGCCAGGTGAAAGCCAACCTGTGGAACCTTGTTCTGTTTCCCATATGCAGCAGTACTCAGAAAGGTCCAACAATGGGGCCCGTCTTTCTCAAAGTTCATAAACTTTTTGTTATTGTTTGCCATCCATGAGATGGAATCAACCCCTTTTACAAAAGCTCCTTCAAATGGTGTAACTGCAGCATCTATGAAAGGAAGAGGGTCCTCAAATGCTGCAAGGAGGGCCCATATAGAACTCAATTCTAGCCTCTACAAACACAGAATAGAAAGGACTAATTAAGAAGTCTGTAAGTACTTATTGTTCATCAATAAACTAAATAAGCTGGAAAGATTATCAAAACTTGCACCTTCATTTGTCTAGCAATCAGAGGCAAGCCAGATGTTGCAAGCAGCCTATTAGCACATTTGCCTGCCAGCATTACCAAACTTTTCAAAAGCTAATCATTCTTAAAGACAAAGTTCTTATAATCAATTATAAAGAAACAGAAAAAATAAGATGTTGATCAAGATTGCAGCTCGACCATAATACTATATCATGTAAATGACACTTAAATGTCACAGCCCAAGCCCACCGCTAGCAGATACTGTCCTCTTTGGACTTCCACTCAAAGTTTTTAAAATGCGTCGACTAAGGAAGGTTTCCACACCCTTATAAAGAATGCTTCGTTCTCCTCCCCAACTGATGTGAATCTTACAATCCACCCCCTTCAGGCCCGGTGTCCTTGTTGGCACTCGTTCCCTTCTCTAATCGATGTGAGACCCCCCCAATCCACCCCCCGTTGGATCCCAGTGTCCTTGCAAACCAGGTGGTGTGCTAGCAAGGACGTTGAGCCTCGAAGGGGGGTGGACACGAGGTGGTGTGCCAGCAAGGACGTTGAGCCTCGAAGGGGGGTGGACACGAGGTGGTGTGCCAGCAAGGACGTTGAGCCTCGAAGGGGGGTGGACACGAGGTGGTGTGCCAGCAAGGACGCTGGGATCCAAAGGGGGGTGGATTATGGGATCTCATATCACCGAAGAGGGGTGGATTATGGGATCTCATATCACCGAAGAGGGGTGGATTGTGAGATTCACATCGGTTGGGGAGGAGAACGAAGCATTCTTTATAAGCGTGTGGAAACCTCTTCCAAGCAGATACATTTTAAAAACCTTAAGAGGAAGTCCAAAAGGGAAAGCTCAAAAAGGACAATATCTACTAGCAGTGGACTTGAGCTATGACATAAACGTCTTGCTTCATAAATTTTGTGTTTTTTGTTTTGGTAGCGAACGCTAACATTTAATCAAGCCACCTAGCAACCATCAAAAACCAAAAAGAATTGGAGTGTTCATGCTCTACAGGAAAGAAAGAGGCATCTACTTACCATTGTGTGCAATAACAACAGCATCAAAATGCCCGCAAGGTTTTCCATTCTCACTTAAGTGCCACATTCCATTAAATGGCTCCAGCTTACTTATCCAGCAGGGCCGCATCACATTAATCATAGAAGTCTAGCAACAAAGCCAAATAGTAGAAGAAGTAGAAAAGTTAGAGGAAAAACAAAGGGGAAAAATGCTAAACTTAAGAAGTGTGGATACCAAACAACAGCAAACCATTCAACTATAATCAAACCATGGAATCTAAAGAGTTATGTGCATAAATCTTTGCTGTTTCCATATTATCCATTCTTTGGTCTATCCTAAAAATTAAACCAAAGAGAATCAAAATTCAATCACCTGAGACAGCAACGAGTCAGCAAGCGGCCGCATCCCGTTCGTACCAATATACCTTAGACAAGAAGACATTGGAACAAACCGACCACCGAGTTCAAGCTCTCCAACAGCACCCTTCCACTCTTTAACTAGACCTGCACCCAACCAACCATCCACCAGCTGAGCAAACTGGCTATCAGTCACTGTAAAGAACTGAGCCGCATGATCAAAGATTAGGGGCTCAGGACCAAGACTTCTGGTCCCCATTCTTCCTCCCAACCCATGAACACCCTGCGACAAACACGAAAAATTGAAATGAGCCCTCCTAGATTACCAATGTTTGTCAATCTTCAACTAACATGAGAGGGGGTTCAAAAGATGCATCCAAGTCCATTCACTAGAACGCCTATCAATAAGTTTTCAATTGCAATATCCAACTTCTGAGATACCTACTTCTATCTCTCTCTGAGTTTGTTTAACTTAATGAACAAGAGATTTCTCATTATGAATACAATATAATGGTTAAATGTAGACTACAAGAACTAATTCAATCAATCATGCTTGCCAACATGAAACAGATGCAGCCATGTACAGAATCTGTCAAAACTAGAGAAAATTTCAGACATGAAAGAATTCCAACCGTGTCAAAAACGGTGGATCGAACGCCCCTTTTCTCCAAACTCAGAGCGCACATTATTCCGGCCATGCCGCCGCCGATAATAGCAATAAGGGGGTCATCGGAGAGAGCAGAAGTGAAGGTCACTTGCTCCTGACTGAAAGTCTTCTTCAGAATCGACCTTCTTGAGGTACCGTATGAAGATTTTCGACGGAATTTGGAGGTGGGTTTACGGCCATCCATGGCGGGTTTTCTGGATTTGGATTGGGAATCACATGTTACAATCAGAGTGAAATTTCTGCAGGGCTTCGCGAAGAAAATCGAAGGTTTAGGGATTTTGAAGGGTTGAAGAATGAGGGACGAGGAAATGGAATGAGTGAAGGGAGACATGATCTTTGGAGGGGAACGAGTGGATGAGAGGAGGAGACGGCTTCAATAATCCCCATTTCCACACCGCTGCGCGCCATTTAGTCACCATTGGTTCCTTCAAACTTCAAAATGATTATTCAATTACTAATTTAATCTCTAATCATAACATTTTAACACAAATTTTATAGAACCCATTTCATATAAAATTATGATCAGGGTTTTAAAATTTTTAAATCTTCATATGCATGCCCAGATTTCTACTAATAAGCTGTATGTTCGTGGATTTGATATCGACATAAGAGATGAATCGACATTTCTATTATATCATAAAAATATAAATGAAATATAAAAAGAAGCAAATTTTTGTATTCGTATGATAGTTCAAGCTATTATAGATTATGCAATGAGTTGTTTCAAGATTTTTCAAAATCTTTGTAGTGAGATCAATATGTGTGCAAAATCTTTGTACTGATCTAACTATGATCATAGATGAATACATTGAAATAGCTAAAAACATGTGTCGAGTAAAGGTGAGGGAAGCATGAATTTCTGTGACGTTTTGTGAGATCCCACCTCGGTCGGGGAGGAGAACGAGACATTCGTTACAAGGGTGTGAAAATCTCTCGTAACAGACTCGTTTTAAAAACCTTGAGGGAACTTTGAAAAAGAAAAGTCTAAAAAAGACAATATTTGCTAGCCATGGCTTAAGTTGTCACACCAGACAATGTTACCTAAGCAAAGTCATATTATAAAACAGAGAACTGTCTTACGGCCCACTTCAAATCTGACCTCTCTCAATCATTTATGCGTCGGAGAGATGGTATCCTAGTTCATGTAAAAGCCATTTATAAATCACATGCTTAAACAAGGTGAAATCACGGAACATTACTGGAATACTACTACGGGTGGAGAAGCGTTTTGCAGGGTAGAGATTCATAGCCTTCCCATACTGAAACAGGTAAAATGCTAGAACGCATCGACTCCAACCACAATAACACTATGTGACTACCTAATCCTCATCAACAGCCTTCCCACACGAACGAGGCTAACCTAGATAGGAAAGGAAATCGAGCCAACCTCACATGTCATTGAACTCGAAACAAAAATAATACAACATTTTAAGCAGATAACCATCAAAACTTCAACCAAAATGGCTCAAAGTTAGAGAATGAAAATTGTATAATTTGAAACTTTGTCAATGATCATCTCAAGAACATCAAAATACAGATCAATTCCAATGAAAAGTAGAAAACAAACCCAAAAAAGCCATAGAAAATCATTCTCTAACTGCACTGTCTCATGTAATACACAATTATCTCTCTCATATGTCGTAAAATCATTAAGCTTTCAGAAAAAATGGGAAAAAACATATACATTTCAGCTCAGCTCAGCTCACTCAGTCAAGTGATTAGATGTAAGAAAACAAGCTATTTTCTTTGCTCCTCAACCCATCATTTTTTCTTTCCCTTAGCTCACATTAGGGAAAATGTAGACGTTCACGACTGAATCGGGATATCTACATTAGTTTCGTGTGGATCGGTCGTGGCAGAGCTCATTTTACTTGTCTCATTGTCATGCTTCGCATGATTTCTATGTTTAAAAGATTCACTGTGCTGGCATTGCCCATTGGCTTGTGCTTTACTTTTGCGGGCTATACTGTTAGCTGATTCCGATCTGTGAATACCGAAGCCATGGCGATGTGCTCGTGCGCATACTTTTCCTTTCTCCTCTAGGTTTAAGTTGGTCACGTCACTGCAGCTTTTCCTTCGAGTTAGATTTGGAGACTTTGGTCGAGTTAATGGTTGCTGCCATAAGATTCTAGTTAAAATTTTACCATGGAGTAAAGAAGCATGAGGCCATCATAGAGTAAAGAAGCATGAGGTCTTTTCGGGAAACCAAAAGCAAAGTCAGGAGAGCTTAGGCTCAAAGTGAACAATATCATACCATTGTGGAGAGTCGTGGTTCTTCACATGGTATCAGAGTCATGCCCTTAACTTAGCTACGTCAATAGAATTCTCAAGTGTCGAATAAAAAAGTTGTGAGCCTTGAAGGTGTAGTCAAAAGTGACTCAAGTGTCGAACAAAGAGTGTACTTTGTTCAAGGGCTCCAAAGAAGGAGTCGAGCCTCGATTAAGGGGAGGCTGTTCAAGGGCTCCATAGACCTCAATGGAGGCTCTATGATGTACCTTCTTCGAAGGGAGGATTGTTGGGAGAGGAGTTCTACAGGCTAATTAAGGGGAAAATCATGGGTTTATGAGTAGGAATACTATCTCCATTAGTATGAGACCTTTCGAAGAAACCAAAAGCAAAGCCACGAGAGCTTATGCTCAAATTGGACAATATCATACCATTGTGGAGAGTCGTGATTCCTAATATGGTATCAAAGTCATGCTCTTAACTTAGCTACGTCAATAGAATCCCCAAGTGTCGAACAAAGAAGTTATGAGCCTCGAAGGTGTAGTCAAAGGCAACTCAAGTATCAAACAAAGGGTGTACTTTGTTCCAGGGCTCCAGAGAAGGAGTCGAGCTTCGATTAAGGGGAGACTGTTCGAGGGCTCCACAGACCTCAAAGGGAGAATTGTCAGAAGATGAGTCTCACCTTGGCTAATTAAGGGGAAGATCATGGGTTTATAAGTATGAGTACTATCTCCATTAATATGAGACTTTTCGGAAAAACCAAAAGCAAAACCACGAGAGCTTATGCTCAAAGTGGATAATATCATACTATTGTGAAGGTTCGTGATTCCTAACATAACATGCTTCTTGAAGTGCCCTTCCCGTAAGGGCATCCTGGTTTACCGTTTAGCGACTTATACAGCCTAAGACAGGAATGATCATTTCAGTATATAGTTTTGATTGCTGACCTTTTTGAGTTCAACCTTAGGTGGTGGTCCTTCATAATAGAAGTTGGGCACTGGTTTTGCCTTAATCACTAATCCCTTCCTAAGCTGCTTGATTGCTGCTTCTTGCTCTTCCTGAAACCATTTTAAAGCAGTAAATCAAAGACGAAACCAAGATGATCGTTCGATGATTACGCGAATGCCATCCGAAAGGACCTTAATTCGGGCTTCGTATTGGATTCTCTCTGCCTCCATGGCTTTTTGTTTCTCCTCCAACTTATTATAGTACTGCACAAAAAATATAATTTCATAAGCAAACAGATAATCGCGATGTCTTAGTTCATACAACAAGTCGGTACCTCCTTCCTTTTATCAGCACGTTTAGCCGATCTAAACGTGGGAGCCGTTCCGATAGTTACTTTAGATTTGAGTTGTTGAACGGATGCAATGGTGCTATGAACGGGCTAAGGATAACAAAATTTGATCATATGAATAAACTAAGCATTATACAAAATAAAGAGTTGATTCTATATGGTAGTTGTCGAAAAGAGGATACGAGGAGGCGATGGACCAATGATCTTCTTCTTCGTGATATTTCTTAAGATCGTTATGTGAAGATCTACGCGACGATTGAGGCGAGTTCGGCTGTAGACAAGTGAAACATCAGAATTATGTGGATATAAACTAGTCCTATGCTACTTTTCCAACAGCATATATACTTCGTCTAGTAGTTTACGTATGATCAAAACGTAGCTCCATCGACACTCGTACAAGTTGAACTTACCAGTGAATCCTTTTTTGGGCTGTGGGGAGATTGCAATTTGATAGTGTTTAGGGAAGCATGAACAATGGTTGTTGGAGGAGCCAGAAAAACGGTTTTTGGAGGAGCCTGAACAACGGTCGTTGGAGGAGCCTGAACAACGGTTTTTGGAGGAGCCTGAACAACGGTTTTCAGTGGAGGCTCAACAACGGTTTTTGGAGGAGCCTCAACAATGGTTTTCAGAGGAGCTTGAACAACGGTTTTTGAAAGAGCCTGAACAACGGTTTTCGAAGGAGCCTGAACAACGGTTTTTGGAGGAGCCTCAACAATGGTTTTTAGAGGAGCTTGAACAACGGTTTTGAAAGGAGCTTGAACAACGGTTTTTGGAGGAGCCTCAAGAATGGTTTTCAGAGGAGCCTGTACAAAGGTTTTTGAAGGAGCCTGAACAACGGTTTTCGGAGGAGGCTCAACAACGGGCGTGGTTTTCAGAGGAGCCTCAAGAATGGTTTTCAGAGGAGCCTGTACAACAGTTTTTGAAGGAGCCTGAACAATGGTTTTCGGAGGAGGCTCAACAATGGTTTTCAGAGGAGCATGAACAACGGTTTTTGAAGGAGCCTGAACAACAATTTTTGGAGGAGGCTCAACAACGGTTTTTGGAGGAGCCTCAACAATGGTTTTCAGAGGAGCATGAACAACAGTTTTTGAAGGAGCTTGAACAACAATTTTTGGAGGAGGCTCAACAACGGTTTTTGGAGGAGGCTCAACAATGGTTTTCAGAGGAGCCTGAACAACGGTTTTTGAAGGAGCCTGAACAACGGTTTTTGGAGGAGGCTCAACAACGGTTTTTGGAGGAGGCTCAACAACGATTTTTGGAGGAGGCTCAACAACAGTTTTTGGAGGAGGCTCAACAACAGTTTTTGGAGGAGGCTCAACAATGGTTTTTGGAGGAGCCTGAACAACAGTTTTCGGAGGAGGCTCAACAACGGTTTTTGGAGGAGGCTCAACAACAGTTGTCGGAGGAGGCTCAACAACGGTCGTCGGAGGAGGTTCAACAACGGTTGTCGGAGGAGGCTCAACAACGGTCGTCGGAGGAGGTTCAACAACGGTCGTCGGAGGAGGCTCAACAACGGTTGTCGGAAGAGGCTCAACAACGGTTGTCGGAAGAGGCTCAACAACGGTTGTCGGAGAAGCCTCAACATCGGTTTTCGGGGGAGCCTCAACAACGGTTTTCGAGGAAGCCTCAACATCGGTTTTCGGGGAAGCCTCAACAACGGTTTTTGGACCAGCCTCAACAACGGTTGTCGGCGCAGCCTCAACAACGGTTTTCAGGGGAGCCTCAACAACGGTTTTCGGGGGAGCCTCAACAACGGTTGTTGGGGGAGCCTCAACAACGGGTGTCGGGGGAGCCTCAACAACGGGTTTCGAGGAAGCCTCAACAAAAGTTGTCGTAGAAGCCCCAACAACAGTTGTCGTAGAAGCCCCAACAACAGTTGTCGAAGAAGCCTCAACGGTTTTTGGAGAAGGCTTGGTCTCAATGGTTGGTGAGCTCATTGCTGCTTTTTCCCTAGCCTGCACGGTTGGTTGCTGAGCCTTGTGGTTTAATCGCACAATTCTTGGACTAACAGCTATAGCCCTGGGCGAGATAGACTTATTAAAGTCACTAATTTTCTGTGCAACAGTCCTCTCCGCCTTCTTCTCCACGGACACGAGCACGGGCGCAGGTGCAAACACAGAGCTAGACACACTGGCATCAAGGTTAGAGCTTCTGATTCCTACACCATTGTTCTCCTTTTCTTGATAACTTTCGACAACCGAATTCTCCTCGCTTCCGAGTTCCTCCGAATCAATAACTTTGGGGGAAACAAGGACTTTGTCATGAGAAACACCATTTAAAACCACAACAGAACCATTTGGCTTCTCCATTACACCATCAATTTCCCTACCCATGACCCTGCACCAAACACACCAACAACATCACAATCAAATCCTTAAAAACAAACAAAAAAAACATCCTAAGTTATCTAATCCATTGTTTGCAAGGAAAACGTGAAGAACAAACGCAAGAACACTTCAAAAGTTTGAATTGACCCACCAAATGAAAAGGGTCCATAAAGAACACAAACAAGAATCCCCACAAACACATGCAGAGATTCAAACCCATTTTCGCAAGAATCAAAACAACGAACATAAACAGAGATTTGAGAAACTCAAAACTGTGCATCAAGAACAGGGGAAGCCATTTTTCAGCCATTAGAGAGCTCAAAACACAGAAAGAAGAAGAACCCACCTTGAAAAACCAGCTCCCCTGCCGATCTGACAAGATTTCCCTGGCTCCCCGACCTGCTCCTCCCTCCCCTTCCCCTTCTAAAACGAAACAAATGAGAGAAAAAAAATTGAAAATGGGGTTTGTTTGTTTGGTTGTTTGTTTTCCTTCCCTTATTTAGTTTTCCTTTTTAGAAATCAATGTTAGCGGTTTTCCTTTTTGTTAGCGTAATGATCGGAAAAGAAAGCAAAATTCCAACAACAGAAAATGAAGGCTTTTTATCGCTGTTTTGTTTTGCTGTTTGATTGGACGGTCTATTGCTAATTGCTTGCTTATTTATAGATTATAAACCAAATATCACCCTTTATTTATTTATTTTTAGGATAAATTCGAAAAATTAGTGGAGCCAAAAACACACAAAAAGACAAAAAAAAAAAAAAAAAAAATCTTCCGAGACCACATTAAACGATGTCGAATTTTGCCACGTCATCGTGTTTGAGAGAAGATTGAAGATCCTCAACTCGCTTTTAAACACCTTATCATTTTGGTTTTAGATAATTTATTAAATTAAGTCCCATTAATTTTTTTAATATATATTTAGTTAAGATGGCTGGTGGACTAAACTCTAGGCTAATTTAGGGAATGACTATGGGTCTATAATTAAATAATACTATCTTCATTGACACGAGGTCTTTTAAGGAAATTCAGAGCAAAATCATGAGAGCTAATGCTCAAAGTAAATAATATCATATCATTGTAGAGAGTTGTGTTCGTCTAACATGGCATCAGACGTATGCCCTAAACTTAGTCATGCCAATATAATCTTCAAATGTCGAACAAAAGACTCTAAAAGAAAAAGAAGTCGACGACTCCTCGAAAGCATAGTAAAAAATGACTAAATTTTCAAAAGAAAAGGAGTCGAGTCGACGACTCCACAAAAGCATAGTAAAAAATGACTAAGACTCCAAAAGAAAAGGAGTCGAGGCTCAATAAGGGAAGACGTACTTTGTTTGAGGGAAAGTGTTGGTGGATAAAAGTCCCACATCGGCTATCTAAAAGCAAAGCTGTGAGAGCTTATACTTAAAGTCTTTATTAATCATCATATACTTAGAATTGTTCTCATTTGGATATGGTTCAGGTTCATTCATGTACCTTTCATTTGCTCGGATAATCACATTTCTAACTTTTATTATCAAAATAGAATATTTGGACTCTTATGAGAAGAATATACGTTTTCGCCATCTCAGGTTTTCTAGCCCCATCAAGTCCTCCTCTCTCAGGTCTAGCCCTTTTACTCCACTTGAACGAGCCAAGAAAGCCTTCAATTTAGAGTAAACAAGAAAATCACAACAGATAAATAATCTTTCGTCTTTTACTATCGAAAAATAGAAAATAATTATAAGTAATTTTCTCTGATATCCAACCCATTATTAGTATTGATCAATCATTCTTTTACTCAAAGTTAATTTCTAATTATCGCCCACCAAATTACAACCCTTAATTAACACACAAACATAAGCATCTTTTGAAAAGTCTCTTTTGCAATGAAATAATAATGGACCCAATTGGTGGGTGCGATGGTTTTGTTTGGGATCAACGGATTAGGGTTTAGATCGAATGTGGTATCAATTTATTTATGTATCTCTTTGACTCAAGTGTCACAAAAGATAATGGTTCGATTCGACATAAAATTTCAATTTATATCTATAAGATCAAATAGAATCAAGATATTTTCACATATTAAAAGATACATTATTATATATTAAAATTCATTTAATGTTTTTTTAAAAAGCGAAAGAACCCCACAACATAATATATTTGGAATGATCTTGATGTGATTAAACAATATAAATCATTTTCTAAAGAAAATTTGATGCATAATCAAAATATTCCCTTTTCATTATTTCTCGTGTAGCTTTTGTCGGTCGTGATGGTTTGCCTCATAGTGTACTAAGAAAATTTTATAAATTTTAGTTTGTGAGACTAAAAAAGTCTCGTTCTATTTAAAAAAAAATGTTTTTCAAAATAAAAAGGGTAGATTCGTAATATTACTTTTTTAGTTCCACTCAACTCGGATTCATGGTATTCAATGATTTTGGAAAGATAAATGGCACTGTATAACATCAGAAAATGTGTTGAAAGATGGTCAACTTTTGAGGGAGGGAAAGCATTTCAATAAGATCTCTACTTCCCTTGTTGCGACCTCAGTACTAAAATAAAAGCACAAAGAAATTGTTCGGTAAGTTGCCGGGTGTAGCACACTACATGTTAGTCACAGATAAATCGAGATAGAAGTTGGTGAGCATACAATACCACATAATTGAACCGCACATGAATGAACCAGTACTATATTTAAATAAAAATGGTCCAAAATGTTTAAAGGATCGATAATTAGTGATTTAAACCCAGGGAAAAATACTTTAAAGCATTTTTATTGAAAAATGAAATTTTAAATTAAATATTATATTAATAAAAATATTCATAAACTCCCCATTTTATCTAAAAAAATAATTTAGTTTTTTTAGAAGATTCATCTTAAAACTTTAAAAAAAAAATCTAAAAATAATATTGGTTTAAAATATACTTTCAATTTTGAGTATTTAAAAAATACTTTTCAACTTTACAAAATTTCATTAATACCGTTCAATTTTTTAAAAAATATTAAAATATTACGTTGAAAAATGTTAATTAAATTTTTAAAAAATAGCATAAATATCTTTATTTTTGTTTTTCAACTTTTTAATGTTAAATATTATTAATTTATATTTGAAATAAAATATTAAGTAGAGAGAGAGAGAGAGAAAGGGTAATTTGGGTAATGGAAAAATAGGCGAAAGAACTTGAGAATCTGTGAAAAATAACTGCCTTTACAAATACTGTGGCTTTTGACCATCTCTTATTCCGGAGATAACGGTTTAAACAAAACTAACATCCATATTCACCGTCCAATAAAACACCGCCACGTGTCACTTTCCCGCTCTCTCCCCCCTATAAAATCATTCCTCTTAACAACTTGCAGCTAGTTTCCCGAAGGCTGAGCCCCTCTTCAATTTTCCCGCTCCTTCGAATTTTCCCGAGAAAATTCCTTGAAAAGAAAATCTTCTCTGTTTCTTTGATCTGTGAGAGAGCGATTGAGTTTGAAGTGTGAAGAACAACAGAAGCAATGGCGACGATGGCAGTTTCGGGAGCTACAGCCGCAGCCACCCCCACACCCGTGGCCGCCGCCACTGAAACACAGAAGAAGAACAGAATCCAGGTTTCCAACACCAAGAAACCCCTCTTCTTCTACGTTAATCTTGCTAAGGTATATATATACTAATCCTTCTTCTTTGGTTTGATTTTAATCACTGAGAATTTCGATTTTGTTCCGTTCTTGTCTTGTTCTCAAGAAATGGAATCGAAAATATATAATGTAATAATGATCCATCAATCTGTGTTCTTATTTTTGTGATCTGACTGTTGAAGATTGTTGGGAGGAAGTCTGGCTAATTTAGGGAATGATGGTGGATTTAGTTTATAAGTAAAGAATACGTTTTCATTGGTATGGGACCTTTTGGGTAAACCAAAAGTCACGAGAACTCATGTTCAAAGTGGACAATATCATACTACTGTAGAAATTCGTGATTTCTAACATCGATAAGAGTCATGTCAAAGTGGACAATATCATACCATTGTGGAGAGTCAACATGGTATAAGTGCCATGTCAAAGTGAACAATATCATACCATTGTGGAAAACTGTGATTTCTAACAGAGTATAAGAGTCATGTCAAAATAGATAATATCATAACCTTGTGGAGAGTTATGATTTTTAACATAGTATTAGAGTCATGCCCTTAACTTAGTTATGTTAATAAAATTCTCAAGCGTTGTATAATGAAGTTGTGAGCCTCGAAAATTTAGTCAAAAGTGACTCAAGCGTCGAACAAAGGGTGTACTTTGTTCGAGAACTCCAGAAAAGGAGTTGAGCCTTGATTAATAGGAGGTTGTTCAAGGGCTCAATAGGCCTCGAGGGAGGCTCTGTAGTGTACTTTGTTTGAGGTGAGGATTGTTGAGAGGGCTTAGGTTTCATACGAGGCCTTTTGGATAAACAAAAAACAAAGTCATGAGAATTTATGTTCAAAGCAGATCATATCATACTATTGTGGAGAGCCATGATTTCAGTTTCTACGTTGTTTGGTTGTTTCGGTGACAACGAGTTATTTACATAATTGTTCTAATTCTTGATTCAGAGGTACATTCAACAACACAATGAGGTGGAGCTTTCTGCCTTGGGAATGGGTACTATTTTAATTTTCCTCTTATCAATATACATTGTTCTTGACGAATCATATCTGATGAACTTTTGGTTTTCTTGCATCGGATCCTTCGAATCATTGCAGCAATCACTACTGTTGTCACAATTGCAGAGATTCTAAAGAACAATGGATTGGCTACAGAGAAGAGTAATTCTATTTCTTCATCTTTAACACTAATTTCTGTTGATAATATAAAATGGAGATGATTATTGATATTCGTATGGTTTTTCTATGAAATAGAAGTTTTGACTTCCACCGTCGGCATGAAAGATGAAAACAAAGGCCGTTTGGTTCAGAAAGCCAAGGTTGGTTCATTTGTGAATTCTTATCAAATTTTCTTGTTTTGACATCAAATTGTTCTGTTTCGTGATAGATTGAGATAGTTCTGGGGAAGTCTGAGAAATTTGATTCTCTGATGACTGCGGCTACGGTAGTACCAGAGGCGGCGGTGGCGACAACGGCGGTGGTGGCGGCGACAGCGACGGTGACGGCAGCTCCTGCTGCTGCTGAAGAGAAAAAAGAAGAGGAAAGCAAGGAGGAGCAGTAGGGGGAGGAGGAGAGGTGAATTTGAATGTTACATTGTTGTAGTTTAAGAATCACATTGCAATGTTATAGGATAGGTTGTTTTTTTTTTTTTTTTTGAACGGTCACGTTTATGAATGACATGTTAGTGTCGTAATCCATTGTGTGATGAAGTGGATTGTGCTCTCGATCAAGTCGTCTGCTCTTCTCATAGTATGGTTGTGACCATGTCATTACCCAAAAAAAATTGCAGTTTTTTCTTGTCTATTGTGTTGAGAGGTTGCATTTGGTTGGTACTTCTCTATTGAATCTAATGAAGTAAATCTCTCATACTTCTTTTGAAAAGTTTCCTATTCATTTTTTCAATGAATTTAATTTCTAAATTAATCATGGAAATGTATTGATTCTTTGTGTAATTAAGAAAAGAATTTCTCGTTCATGTATCTCTTATCCATTCTTTCCCGTCTTTTTGTTTTTGTACCATAAAAATTTGAAATAGAAAATCTATATCCAAGAAAGGTAACCATTGGAATAATAGTATCCATTGTTATTTGATTTGATACATTGTGGTCATTAACATTGTTGAATTAGTACGAAAAGAGAGGACTTCGAACCCTCGGTAAACAAAAGCCTACATAGCAGTTCCAATGTTACGCCTTCAACCACTCGGCCATCTTCTCAATGTCTTGGTTATTCACGTGAAATGGGTATATAACTTAAGGAAATCAAATAATTTTTTTTGTATATAAAGTTGGGATGATTTAAATAAGAGAGGTTTTTTTATTTTAAATAAGAGAGGATTAAATACTTTTTTTATTCTTTATTTTTATAGGATTAAACATTGTATTTTTAAAATAATAATATTATATTAGTAAAATTATATATCACTTGTTTTAAAAAAAATCATGATTTATTCAAATATGAAAATTTGAAATTATAATCTTAAGAAAATAAAAATACTTTTTGCATCTATATCCATTTCAATTGTATAACAATTTAGAATTTAATGAAAACTATTATTAAAATTTAATAAATTTTCTTATAATATAAATGGATGAACGGATTATAAACTAAAACTAGATAATTAAAACAAGAGAAAAAGATTTCTTACATATAGTAAATTCAACAATTGAATTTTAATTTAAAAACAATAATTAAAACTTTATCATAAAACATTGTATACAAATAAATTGGAAAATTATAAATCAACTCCTATTATTTTTTATTTATTTATTATTACTATTATTTTTTTGTTGAGAACATGAAAAAAGAGAGAAAATACGGAGAGTTAGTGAATTCTACATCAAATATAGACTGAATTGTCTTGTGACTAAGACTCAATTTTTCGTGGGGTCAGATTCTGATCGGTACGAGTTTAGGGAATGGCTCATTGGCCTCTGATTTCCATGCAAAGGACACGATGTGCATAAATACCCTCTTTAACTTCTATTCTGATGGATTGAATGTCTTTCCTAAGAAATCAGAGGAAGATTCGACGATTTTTTCCAGGAAACTCCAACGAAAAATAGACACTATTCCTTCTTTTCTAGACTGAATTGTCTCACGACGTTCTTAGTCGCGAGTAAGAAGAACATGAATAGATAAGCAAAAGATGTCAAGAGAGTAATAATAAGAGACCCGGTAGTGGTAATGGTATTTTATGATTTTAAAAAAAGTTTTAATTTTATAAATAAAAAAAACGATCAATATTCTAATTTCTTAAATAGACAAACCTTATAATAAATGACTATATATTCATATAATAACTTTTTAAATGCTTTTTTTATGATTTAAATTAAATACGTAAATTTTATAAACAATAAAATTGGATAAAGAGGCAAAATAGTAAAAAGAAAAAAAAAATTATAATTGTTATTAAGATAAAGACAATATATTTAATGTTTGAAAAAAAAAAAAGAAAAAAAATTATAAGATAAAATCCACCGGTTCTCTCTGCCCTTGTGGTCGCACGCTCTCTTCTCTCTTTCTCTTCCTCGCCAAATATCTAAAACCCTAGAAGCCAACATTCGAGTTTCCAGTTCGAATCACTCCATTTTCTCCTTCTTCTTGTACCTCTCCTCGATTCTTCTGTAGGTATGGAAAACTAAGCTTGCTTGCTTTGTGAATTATATGTTTGGGGTTTGTTTTTACCCGTTGTTTTTGTATGTTCTTGTGCTTTGTTGTGTGTTCCGTTCGTTTATTCAGTTTTTCTTTTGCTTTAATGTTTGTGATGCGAATTACGGTATGGTGGTAATTCGTTTGTTTTGTTAGGTTTCTTTTGTACGTTCTTTTGTCAACTGGATTGCGATACTACCGTTGTTATCTTCCTCTAGAAACCAAAAATTTAAGCTGGATGGTTCCCTGTTGGAACTCGAGTAATGCATTTCTTATCACTCATGTCGCATGTTAATAGGAGTTTAGGCCTGGGTATTTCTATTTTTTGTTTTTGTTTTTGAAGCGTTATGCATTTTACTTCATCCAAATGAGAGCATTTTTTTTAAAAAAATATTATTATTAACTTTTTTTTTACTGAATATGGTAGTTTTTTGCAGTTTGATCTCTAAGAAACACATGGCTGATGTGGATCAGAGCTATGTGCATGTTGATGATCATGAAGTAGATGAGAATGAGCAGATATATGAGAACGTTCAGGTACAGGACACTACACTGGAACAGGATAATACACAGGAGCCAGAGAACTTGCACGAACTTCAGAATGAACACATACCAGCAACCTCAGGGTCTGATGAGCCAAAACAAGTGCATAATGAGGATCCTCTGGCTGTAGTAGGTGAGAAGAAGTGGCCCGGATGGCCAGGAGAGAGTGTTTTTCGAATGTTGGTTCCCGCACAAAAAGTTGGTAGTATAATTGGTCGCAAAGGTGAGTTTATCAAGAAAATAGTTGAGGAGACGAGAGCTCGGATTAAAATTCTTGACGGTCCTCCAGGAACAGCAGAGAGAGCGGTAAGTTTTCTCTCCTTCAGATAAAAACTCTTCTCTAATAATTTAGCTAGTGTTTTGGTATAAATTATTTGGATTTAGGAGGGATTCTGATGATTTAATATCAAATTAACGTGATCTATCCACTTTCATTCTATCGTTATGGATGTTACACTTCATTAAAAATTATTGTCCTAGGTTTTCTTGTTTTTTCATATTCTCAGTATGTATTGCACCTTGCTTCAAGGTAGGGAAATATTGGGCATTGCATGGCTTGATTAGCCCAATCTACCTGAGCATCAAGTTTGGGTGGTTACTAACTTTTTTAGTCAATTGTTTAATCTCTTTTGTACTCTTGGTTTGGCATATTCAAGAACGTGATATCAGTTATATGGATGTGTAATGATGGAAACATGACACTGAAGATCCCTAGGAAAATTTCAGACCATAGAGCGTGTGTGAAAAAATGTTATCATTAATAATTTGATTAGAACTTGTACTAAAAGCCATTAAATCATTGACTAAAATAATATAAAGTTGGATAATGTTCTAAAATGCTTCTGAGTCGTGGAAAAAATATTTGATTATATTAAACCACTCGGCACACTTAAAATGTTATATGCTAACACTAGTGGGGAAGATTGAGCTCCATCGTAGAAGGATATCTGTGCTTCTACACCCCATTGATGGGTGTTAGACATGATTCTCTTTCAGCTTATAACTGCCAAAAAGGAAATGTCCAGAAACTAAGATTGTCCCTTTAAACATGTAAAAATGACATTATAAACAAAACAAAAAGGAATCTAAGACTAATCCAGGTAATCCCAAAATATGGATACAGCTGCCTTGATTGTTGTAACCAAAAAATGAATCTGTGCAGGTTGTTTAAGGCAACGATTCAATCTTCAATAGGATTCCATATTTGAAGAACCAAAGATCCAGATGTGGGGATCAGCATTCAAGATTACAAAGTTCTGAAAAGTTGATCTGAATTACACGTAGGCATCTGGAACTTTGTGTACCATGAAGCACTGCAATATCTCTGGTAACTTCAGATCTGAAGATTGAGCAAGATTTCGAACGGGATGATAAATGTGAAAAATGGGGAAAACATAACGATAAATGTTAAGAGTTAAAAAAATTTAGTAATTTTAGAGATGTTTATAGACGACTAAAGATATGCATAGATAAAATTGACACTAAAAGTGCCAATCAATATCAAATAGAAGTTATATATTTTTGCATATGCTTCTATTGTGTCTTTGCCAATAACAACTAGGTCTATAATTGAACATCATAATACTGTGAAAACCTGAACTCTAACATAATTATATTATCGAATTTCTTGGAACGTAGAAAGCTGGTAAATCACTTCCATGTTCAAAAGTGGCTTACAAATTTCAACACTTGCTGCACGGTTCTTTTGATCCGTTATCTTCATATATATTTGCAGCCTCTAAGATGTGTCTTACATGATGTATTGGAGGAAGAAATCATCCACTGTTTAGGCCCTTGCCTCATCAGACATATAGATTGGGGGACTATCTTTGAATTGTTTGATCTGCCTGATAGTTTTGACAACTTTATTATTTTAGTTGCAAGCTGCTCAAAATTCAACTAAGAGGTTAGGAAAGTTTGAGGAGTAAGGGTTTGGGCATCTTGTGGGAGATCTGAATGAAAACTAATATGAGAAGCTTTTGAAGGCCACTGTTGTGTATGTATGTATTGCGTGTACACTTTGTGGCATCCTTATTGTCTTAACTTGCAGATAAATGCAATTTTTCATTGTAGACCAACCAAATTGGAAGAGGGGCTCTTTTTTATTACATCCATTTCTTTCTTTGATTGGACGCACATCAGAATCCATAGTGCATTTAGCATTTGATACATGTGGAAGTTTGTGCAAATAAACTTAAGTGCCTTCAATCGTGAAATTGTAGAAGTTTTGGCATGTTATTAGTTATTTTCTAATTGATGTTATAGACTAATTGTCTTTTCATTAGTTGGGAATTTCATGTGTTTTCCCTTGTCATGAAGCTCAATCGCTGTCTCTGAAGTGTGATGGAGTATTTTTGCTTTCTAATTCTTTTAGAGTGTTTGTCTCTGTTGAGCGGAGAATTTCAGTTTCTTTTGCTTCTTACTACCATGATTTTCCCTTTGTTGTAGTTGGTCAATTTGTGATGAAAATTTTTAGTTATGACTTGAAGGTATGCTTCATTTTTAAATAGGTAATGGTGTCTGCAAAGGAGGAACCCGATTCTGCTTTTCCTCCTGCGGTGGATGGGCTTCTGAGGGTTCATAAACGCATTGTTGATGGTTTGGAGGGCGATAATGCTCACGCTCCCAACATGGGTGGTAAAGTCTCAACGAGACTGTTAGTGGC